CATCCATCTGCTCATCTCTCTTTGTATTCTATCTTTTTAATTGAAACCAAATATTATCTTTACCCTTTGAATAGGCTTTTTCTTAATTCCCTTTACACTTTATATATTTTCTCTTTTGAGCATCTTTTTTTTTCTTCCTTACAATCCTTTTGCTTCAATTGTATACAAACTTACTTCATATATATACATAACTATATATATATTTCTTCTTCACTCTTCCCCTTTGATCCATGTTCTATAGGTCAAAAACCTAAAAAAATAATTATAAATAGAAAATGTCATTCGACATGACTTTTTCTTCTTCATCTTCCTCAGAACGCCTTTGTTACTTGCAGTGTAATTTTTGCAACACTATTCTAGTGGTAAATACTTCTTAATCCTTCTTCAAACTTGTTTGAATTTTAATTTCTTATTGTGCATATGATAATATATATAATTACTAGGGTTTTAAAACCTTTTGAAGGCTTTTTTAAAAAAAAATATGCATGTTAGTAAAAAAAAAAAATACAAGAAGGGCATATTTTGATTTTAAGCTCATGTGTAATGAGTATGATCATAGATTATTATTATTAAAATTAAAGAATAATATGTTTTTGATAGAGAATATATGTCTTTTTTAGGTTTAAAGTGAAGTAAATATGGATGAAATTCTTCAAACATAATCTTATTGAGATGAAATACTCTTCTTTTATGAATTATAGGGTAAAAAGGATGTATTTGGTTGGATTTATAATCTTCTTTGATATTTTATGTTAATTTTTACTAGATTTCACTTAGGACAAAAAAGGGGTTGTTGGTTTTTTTTTTTTAAGAGTTTTCATTTGTTTGGAAAATCTTGAAAATTTAACTTCAAATGAGTAAAAAAAATAAAAATAGAATTGCTATGATCCAAACTATTGTTCTTCTTCTTTATTCCAAAATTTCACAAATTATTGTACAACTAATTTTGGTGTCATTAGATCTCTTACCTTCAAAAATGAAAAAGAGAAAAAATAAAAAATGGTGGGGTTTTCTGTTCACACATTTTAACACATTTGCCCACTGGATAATCAACTAAAAAAAATAAAATTAAAAATATGTTTTTCTTTTTTTCCCAATTCTTGAGATATCATTAATCTTGTTTCTATTTCTTCAAGAAAAATAATTATGATTGGAATTTGAAACAATTAAGTATTGTTTTATTACTCTTCATTATTTATTTTACTTTTAAAAAAATCATGTATAGAATTGTAGTTCTTTGTTTGAATGAATTATATGATATATAAAAAAGTACTTCGTATATCATATAATTTTGTTTTAATTTATATATTTTTTATTTATTGAAGTTTTCAAGTTCCTTGTATTGGACTGTGATTTCTGTTCTAGTCATGTCATTTTCCTTGTTATCTCTTTAAATTTCTCACTTTCCTAGTGACTGAACAATGGTCAGAAAAAAAGTCAGTAGCACCAAAAGGAAAGGAATTAAAGAGATATGATTATAGATACGATGCTTCATCTTTAATCAGATATCTCGAATTCTACGTAATACATAAAAATAAGGAACACTTCTCCTTTTAAGAGGTCATATGCACACAAATTCTGATTAGTTGGAGCTCCAAAGTTTATACTAAACATCAGATGAATAATAATAATAAAAAAAAGACTACAAAAAAAAGAATAGCCAAAAAAGCTTGTATTTGAAGTTGAGTCTTAAAAATTTGAGGTTTTGAAGTTGTGATTTTTGAAGTTGTATATGGATATGCATTTTACTTTGAAAATTTATAGTTTTCCGAGTGGAAGTTCAAAAAACTCAAAAACTGATCTAGCTTTCACGCACCTCAACTAATTCTACGGAATATCTATCAAATTTTAATGATTTTTTTAGAACAAACAGATATTTAAAAGATAAATTTTAAAAAACTTACTTTCAAAATTTATGGTCAATTGCTAGCTTAAATTATATATAAAGATCCAGATTCAAATTTTAATTTATGTAATATTAAGGGTTTTCACATAGACATAGTGCTGGTTACTACTAGTCAAACTAGAAAGAAGTCTATAGTTTAGTTTTATAAATTGTTACTACTAGTTTATTTAATTTTAAGTAATTGCAAATTGTTATAGTGGTTACACAAATGGTGAATTTAGCCCTTTTAGGAGGATCATCTTTTGCATAAATTTATGTCTAGAACAAGATAAAAGAATTTTAAGTTACATATATTGATTTATTAAAAACGTTAAGAGATTTTGCTCTTTAAAAGTGACAGAGCGTAATAAGTAAATTCTTATAGATTCATCCGAAGGAAATTGGACATGATAATTTTTCATCATCCAGCTCGGACTCTCATGACTATAATTAGTTATTATTCTTTTATTTAATCATTATACGATCGAGATTTACTATAGTTATATGAGATTTTTCGATTAATTTAATCTGATGATATAAAAAATCTATATATTATCAGGTTAGTGTTCCATGCAGCAACATGTTAACCTTAGTGACAGTAAGATGTGGGCATTGTGCAAATATGTTTTCTGTTAATATTGGATCTTTAATTCAAGCTCTCCCCCTTCAAGATGTACAAGTAAGTAAATACATTAATTTTTCTCTCTATTTCATTTTATGTGATATCGACTATATATGCACAGAACATGTACAATCTTTTACGCACTATAACAAGTATTCATAAATTTGTCATAACTTTTTATTAGTGCTCAAACACGAAATACTTAGTTCTATGAATGTTTGCTTCGGATAGGATATAATCAAATATTGATATATCCAGATAATTCGTAAAGGATCAATTCATCGCTTATATCCTTTCCTTTTCAGTTTGTTCCAAAAAACAACACATAATTTTTATATTTAAAGATAATATGAGTTTAAACTTTCCAGTTTAACCCTAATATTTATGATTTTATAATCACATAATATTATGACATGTTTAATATTATAAATTCTTGTCAAAACTAAGAAAAAAAATGTTATATACTTTGTGGGTAATTTCACAATCTCTTTGGTCATGTGCTCTTTTTTTTTTTTTTTCCCTTTTCCTAATTTTGTGGTAAAAAAATAAAGAATCATGTGAAAATTAAAAAAAAAAAAAATTTCCATCACTTTTTTTGTTGGTGGAGGAGAAGAAAGTGTTTTATACTAATTATTACTATGATCATAATAATATTTTTTTTCTTTCTTTTTATCTGACAGAAGCTGCAAAGGCAACAGTACACAAATGTTGAAAATAATTCTAGTAATTATAAAGCTTATGGTTCTTCATCATCATCATCTTCCTCCAAGTTCAACAGATATTCTTCCATTGTTTCTCCTGAATTTGAACCTAGAATCCCTCCGATTCATCGTAAGCGCTCTCTCTCTCTGTTAATAAATCACTACACGTTAACTATATGTAATCGTTCATAATAAGTGGAACGAACAGATTACAACTTGAAAAATAAGACAGTTAACCTGGTACAAGTACAACATATTGAAATTTAAGTTATACTATTAGTGTATAAGTTAAATATTTTGTTGAATTGTTGTTTGCAACATGTCCTTCCAAAGTGTCATTAACTTACAACCGGCTACAAGGTCAATTTAAATCAAGTTAAGATGTTTAAATATGTAATTATAAAATTGTATCTATGTATTATATGTCTTTAAGTTATATATATATTTATTGATTGTAGCAGATAATCTGAGTTATTTATAAGATTACAAATTCAATATTATAAGGAGTTTTACATGAAGATATTTTTGAGATGATCTAATAATATAAAATAGCATTTACACTGTTATTGTACATAATTTAAACAAGATTTGTATACTCAGTGTCTGACTTAGAATTTTCATCAAGGTGATTCGAAAATGAAAATACAGTACTTGAGGTTTGAATTTAAAATATCAAAAAAAAAATTAAACCCCCTAAATCATTGAGCTAATCTCTACTTTTATGTTCAAACAATTCAAACTCTCTATATATACAATATGATTTTTTATCGAAAAAATTGAATAAAACATCTTTGCATCCCTAGATTTATAGTATGAAAAGGGAGGAGATATAATTGACTATAATATTTGGACTGCATGAAGTTTCCTCTTCACTTATGACAACTGAAGTTGATTGTGACATAACATTTGTATCCAACTCATCAATAACATGATAATTATTAGGGTCCTTTGGTTGCTGGTCAAGAAGATGCCAATTCATTTATTAAAATTAATATATATAGTTAATATATAGTATGTTTGGTGTGATTATTCAAGCGCATCAAGTATAGTGTTTGGCTATTATTTTATAAATAAATAAATCCTATATAATTAATTTTTACATTTATAATACCTTTATAATTCTAACTAGCAACTAAACGATCACACACTTAGATCATCATATATTTATTTGGTATAATTTTCAAATAACAATCGTATAAATCAAAAACACTTTTAAACAACAACGAATTAAGCTAAAGTTTTATTTACGAATTTGGAAAAAATCAATAGTTTTGATCAAAATCTTGTATTTATGTTAGTAAATAAACTTAAAAGGTACATAGATAAGTACTAAATACGTTATCTTTTCTACAATTAAAAATTTATAAACTCAAAATCTTAAATCCGTCTCTAATTTTTTCATATATCAAACTATGCAGCACCAGAAAAAAGACAACGTGTTCCTTCTGCCTACAATCGATTCATCAAGTAAGTTTTTCTCTCCTTGGGGTGGGGGAGGGGGGGGGGGTTGAAAAGACAAATATTATACATGTAATATTATAATGTTAAGTTAATTTATTCGTTCGAGTAATATAAGTGAATTCAGAATTTTATGTTTATGCGTTTTATTTACTGAGATTTTAATAGATTATAATACATTTTAACAAAAATACGAAATTTGAGACTAAAGGTACTGAGTTTTACCTAATTTGAGAACTTTTATTGTGGATTTTCCCCTATCTAGTTACCCCCTCTCTTGCCACCTAATTTGCAATTCATCTATATTTATTGGTTCATGGTTCATTATTTGTATGTGATATGCATGTCTCACATACTCAGTACATTTAAAGTATTGATCGCATATTTTTTAAGCTATATTATTTATGTTTTGAATGTGTATAGGGAAGAGATCCAAAGGATAAAGGCCACCAATCCTGAAATTAGCCATCGTGAAGCTTTTAGCACTGCTGCCAAAAATGTAAGTCCTCCTTTAATCAAAAGTCTCGAGCTTAAATTGTGAAAGTAGAAAAATCTTCAGTGAAAAACGTTTTTCTTATTAATAGACATTACACAATGAAAATGGGAATTAGTATGGATACCTATAAGGAGTGAAGCATGGGGACTGCTGGGAGAGTCTTTTTAAAAAGATGACTTGTTGGATGGTCGGGCGTTCACTTTTTTATGTCTTTGATTTCTTAGGTGAAAATCTTACTTCGCAACTGACACCAATTATACAAGAGTCAATGATCAAAATTAAACACACGTGAACTATAATTTTTGCTTTCATATCACAATTATATATCCATTGTTTCTTTTACCTATCTAAATTTATCAGTTTAAGTTCTTTGTATTAAAACACACTTTGATGTTGAATTGGTCAAATATTTGAAACCAATCGACAACAGGTGTGTACGTGTTTGATCATTAACTCGCAAAAAATGATAAGTTAAATATGCATAATACATAAATATGACCCTTAATTTGATTTCAGCTGGCAGCTAGAATTTAACTTTGAGTGTGCACACGTAGACATTTAAACTTGTATAAAATTGAACCAATAGACACATCCATCCTACATGACAATTTTGTATCCTACATGACGTCCTACGTGTATTATGCCACATAGGACACCTGTGTCTATTTGTGCACACCCAAAATTGAAGGGCATATATTGTTGACCAGGTTTTAGCAAGGTGTGAATGAAAAATGAGAATGAGAAATAGTTGAATGACATATTTATATATTATACTATCATTTAAATATATTTTTGACAATTAACTCATTGTGACAGACAAAGAATAAAACAATAAAAGAAGAAATGAAAATAACTTGTTGCATGTGGAATATTTAGACTGTCCACAAAAGAAAAATTATGGTAGGGACAAACAGGAATGGCCACTAAAATAGAAGAAATTAAAAAAGAGAAATATCTTTTTCAAGATTTTATCTTTTATGTATATTTGCTATTTTTGCAGTGGGCACATTTTCCACATATTCACTTTGGACTTAAGCTGGAGGGCAACAAATAGTGCATCTTGAGGGAAAAAAAACTTTAATATATATAATATATGCATGTCTTTATATTGTTTTCGTCGAGGGTTATCATAAATAATATTTCTATCTCTTCAAAATAGAGTAAAATCTGGATATGTATTACCCTCTCTAGATTCTACTTATAAAAATATACTGAATATGTTATTGTTATTGTAATCGTCGTCTTAATATTATTTTCAAGTTGTGAAAGTCTCCTTATGTGACACATTTCGTTTTGTTTGCCTTAATTTTGGTTAATTTAAATGTTGTGTTTCTAACTAGCTATTTTCAATGTTTTTATTCAATAATAACATACACTCTCTTGTGACTTTTTTATACTCATTTGTCCCATTTTATGTAATGTTATTATTATTATTATTCGGGGAGCTTAAATTTTTTAAAATATTTTAGTTACTACTATTGTGACCACTTATACATAATATATACGTTAAGTAGTAAACATAATTTCAAATATTAAAATTTTATTTTTTAAAAATAAAAACAATTTAATATGATAAAATTTGCACAAAATATGATATAATTTAACCAATGTATTTTTAATCCAGTCACCTTAAATGAAAAAATAATAATCTTACGCCTTTGATAAATTATATTTTTTTCAACATGTAATTAACTTATAGAAATAATGTTCATAGGACATTTTTCAGTCTTATTTATTGAAAAATAGTCACTATTATAGAGAAATTCTAGCTATTTCATGAATTAAAAAATGGTTATTCGTGAATTTAATTTTACCCTACACAATTTAGATTCTCACTAAAATTCCACTTTAAATAACTTGGGACTAATTTACAAACATAGCCACATGGTAAATATATAGTATACTACAATGAACACAAAATTCAAATATTTTGATAAATAGGTGGATGATATATCGGGAATAGATTTTCACAAAAAAAAAAAAAACAACTACATTAAATTGAACCTAATAATGTTGTATGTATTGTCAAATCAAGATATTAGACATAAATCAACTGTAGGACAATAAATGTATATCGTGTATATAAAAAATTTATCAAAATAAAGTTAAATAAAACATATTTTTCTTGTCATATTAGATATTTAGATAATTGCAAAATTTAAATTTCATATCATAGATTTGGTTTGGGGGGGGGGGGGGGGGTAAAAAAATTACAAAAAAACTTTTTAGTTCAAGACAAGTCATTTTCATGTGTCATAGTTAGTAAAAAAAAAAACCCAAATTTTTATGCCACTTCCAAACATATATATACCCAACACTAATAAAACACAAATAAAAACATATAGCAGCTTTAAACGAAAGGTTTTCTTCCCAACATTCTCCTCAAATTTACTAGATGGGAACATATCACCCCCCCCCCCCCCCCCCCCCCCCCCCCCTCCCCCCTCCCAATCTTTATTTTGCTGGTGTTCGATATTTATTTTATGATTTAAGTTAATTAAGTGGATGTTTGGTCGTAAGATTTGAGCGTTAATTTGAAGTTTTAATTTGTGATCAGTATTTATTTATGAAATTTGTACATTATTTTAATTTTTATAATTTGTTTGACCATAAGATTTTGAAGGATTAATTTGAAGTTTTGAGTTGAAATCAACGTGTTTACGAAATTTGCGCACAACTAACTTCAATTTTAAATCTCAAATTCTTCAAAAGTAGGATTTGAAGGATTAATTTGAAGTTTTGAGTTGAAATCAACGTGTTTACGAATTTTGCGCACAACTAACTTCAATTTTAAATCTCAAATTCTTCAAAATAGGTTTACATTTTGTAAGAAATAAAAAAAATATTCATCACTTTAAATTTTACAAAAAAAAAAAGATTTGATGCTCGACATGAATAAAAATTGTTACTACTAATTAACAGTTTTGTCAAATTATGTGTTATTTGAAAGTTTCTGACCACAAATATTTATTTATAAAAGGAATTTGAAGATATATCAATTATTAATGTGAGGTCTTAGAATATTTTGGTACCTTGTCTATGGGTTATGATCGGTTCATTTGGTAAGGCTATATAAGAGGTAGAGAAATTTTGCAAATTGTGGGGTTTTCATGCTTCCAAAGAAAAAAAAGTGCAGCTTATAAAAATTCAAATAATATATATCCAAACAAATTTTCAACTTCAAATTGGCATAATTTCAAATCACATCCAAATGAATAATTCAGATTTATGCTGAAATTCCCAATTTGGATACTATATATGTGTCAAACTAGTTTTTCACTAAAAAAACTTCAAAATAGACTTAATAAAAAACACAAGGTAAAAAAAAATATGAACGGAATATATATATATATTAGAGGAAATAAACTTATTCTTACCAAAAGCAACTCCACAAATTTACATTTATTTGAACTCCTAAATCATTTGTCCATGTGAAAAAAGAATAAAAAAATAAATAACATCTTCTCTTCTCTATAATTTAGGGGGAATTAGTAGTAGAGATGGATATAAAACTTAAATTTTTTGGGTTTAATTAAAAAAAATTATTGTAATGTATTTGATTTATTAGGTTCACAATTTATTTTTATATATTAATTTAATGAATTAATAAACAATAATATAAATAATACTTGATAAATTATTATTATATACATATATTATTTTTGTGGGTTTTTTTTTTCAACAAATGAAATGACTACGTACTAGAAAGTGTCAATTGACTTTTGTCAGTTGGACACAATTATCAATCTGTTGCTATACCTTTATATTTTCTTTTTAGTTTAAATTCTTTTTTTTTTAAATACTTTTAACCAACATTGATCTCTTTTTAGACAATTGTGCTGCTTTTTAAAAAAAGTGAATAAGTTATGATTGGTGAATAGAGCAAAATAAGTATTCCCTACATCCTAAATTAAGTGTCGCTTTATCAAAAATTACGTTCATTATCATATTAATAAATATAGTATATAGTTTCTCTTGAAAATTTATAATTTGGATAAACATGGTAATTTTTTGTTTTAAATTTTTAAGATGATATTTATTTTGAAATTATATATATTTTTAAAGATAACACTTATTTTGAGATGAAGAAAATAATATTGTACATATTTTTATTTTACCTTTCTTTGATTTTCCTTTTTCTTCAAACAAATTTTGCCTTTTCTTCTGAATTCATGCTAATTTGAATTTGCATTAAAAAGTCTTATTTGAATGCTCAATGGTCATGTACACATCATTTTTCCTAAGTGGTGTCGTAATTAGGATTTTAATTTTTGCTTAGAACACTTTATTTTTCAAAATGCCTTTAAACTATTTATTAGAGTAGTATTATTTTTGTTTTAAAAAATGAATTTTGAACCTATGGATTAGTTTTGTCAGTGAATCAAGAAAAACTTTCTTGACTAACATTGCCATTTATATAAATATATATATATACACGACATTGTCATATTTTTCAATTTTGAGTGTATACAAATAAAAATTTAAATTTGTGACAAATAAATACACTCGTCCTATATAACTAATTTGCATTGTACCATGAGGAATACATATTATGCATTTATATTTATTTTACAAATATTTCCTATTCTTATATTATTTATGTACGAATATATTTTTAAAAAATCTACAAAAATTAGCATCGAGATGACATCACTTCACGTAATGTGTCATATGTATATATCCAATCTTCTAGCTGATAAAATGTTCTTTATAGCAAGAACATAAAATCTCTGAGTAAGAAGGAAAGAAAGTGTCGAGATGACATCGCTTCACGTAATGTGTCATGTGTATCCAATCTTCTAGCTGATAAAATGTTCATTAAAGCAAATTTGAACATAAAATATCTGATTAAGAAGGAAAGAATACTTATCGTTATTTTCTCAATTCCATGATAGCAAGTTGATGTTTATGACTAGACTACATAGGTGTGGGGGGGTGCGGGAATAATATATAAAGGTTGCAGAATCTGATATGTCAAATCTTATAGTTGGTATTTTGGAAGGTAGTGGATGTTGCTGTTGGCCAGTAGAGGTAGGGCTAAAACACTTTCATTTACACACTATTAGTTTGTCATGTCAAAAATTAAGTTGCAAAGACAAAGAGCCCAAAGTTGTTGTAGATCACTTTTTCTTTTTGATTTCACACTTTGATGTTTGATATCAATTTGTTAATTTGGAGCACATTATTTGTTTGACGAAGTTTAAGAATAAAAAAGAATATTTGTTCACTCGATCAATAATATCGAGTCGAATCTGATGTATCAAGGAATTTGTTTATTTTATCGGTGGAATTAATTTGGTTCACAATATAATGCTTAATAAAGGAAAAACATTTTATACTATAGTTATGCTTTTAGTTCTAATTTATGTGAAATTATTTGTTTGACGAAGTTTAAAAATGAAAAAGAATATTTGTTTATTCGATTAGTAATATCGAGTTGAGTATGATGTATCAAGGAATTTGTTCCATTTTATCGGTGGAATTAAAAAGTCCCGCGAATTAACTTGAATTACAAATGTGGTTCTGATTGGTATATATTAACTACATCTTTTAGGCCTAACTCATTATTCTTTACCTTAAGACCAAATTGACTATTGGATAGTGAAAATAATAAGTGTTCCGATGCTATTTCATGTAATAGAATCACCTTTGATTGAATTATTGTGTGAAAACACTAGTGCGAGACAATCTACGACTCATTTATGTAGTTTACACACTTTTGTACTTTTGAAACTTGCAGTAAGAAATAAGTCATAAATAATTGTGTGTAAACGACATTCTAGAAGCAAAGTTTTCCGATTGCCTAATGATATCAAGGTTTAATTGAGTAGTGTTTTCATTGAAGCACTGTTTCTTCCTCTTTGATACCATCATAGTACATATATACTTTGATGGTATCAAGTAGTAAATGCAAATTAGTAGTTAAAAACAAGAGGTATGAAAGTAAGAAATAGCCGCTTGTAAATTATATCTCTTTTTGGGGTACAAGTGTTCTTTCCCCAAATATTTTGTCAAATGGTCCGTGAAGGCTATTTCGATCATTAAATGATATACATTCCGCCAGCC